TGGGTTATCATTCAAGAGAACCATCTTAAACTCCTCATGATTATCTTCTGCAATAGTCATTATGGGAAACTGAGTGTAAAACGTTTGGACAGAATTTTGTGTGCTCCACAAATTGATCATCTGTACTAATCCTTCCTCATATTGTCCTGCATCGTTTGAAGGCTTGGTGTTGTTTGAATACAAATCTAGTAAGCTATCAACAGCAGTTGGTAGTTCTGAATCACATAAACTGTTCTCTTGCTGGTATGAGTTATATTCTGGAATATCCTTCTCTGAATACATTGATGAATCACCACCATTCACAGTTACTTTTTTCTTACTCTCCATACCCTCTTCTTGTTTGTCTGCACAATCAATCATGATAACATCTTCCAATTCTTGGCGCAAGTCAAACTCCTCATACTCAAAACTTTCAATGATTCCATCTTTAACCTCTTCAGAATTCACATCTTTGGGGTCGGTGGGGTTTATTAGATTGGACTCGTTATCAGCAGATGCATGATCATCAATATTAACCTCAACCAAATGCTTCTCAACATAGAGAAAACTTTCCTCCTTTTGTGGCAAAGGTTTCACCCACGCATCTTTTACAACTGTCTCCTTGTTGGCTAGATCTATTTCTGTGAATTCATTAAATTGAACAACTTTGTTCTCTAAGCCATCTTCATTAGCAAGTTCCAGATTTTGCTGTTTCTCATCTGCAGAATCAATACATACTTCATGCGCTAATATTGATTTATCTCTGGAAGTACTTAAAGCCAGTTCGTCAATATTCTCACCACTTAATTTCTCAACCTCTGTAACAGAATACTGCTCTTCCACCTTTGGCTGCGATGAGGATAAACTCCTTAATTCTTCAGCCTGCTCAGTGATGTGTGTATGTAGTTTGTGAGTTCCGTCAACTGATTCCACAGCATTCACAGCAGCAATACAGTCTACTGGAACTTCTTCCAATTCTACTTTAACAAAGCTTTGTTGTTCCGAATGAGTGATTATTACAGGTTTATCAACCAACACACATTGTTGATCTGTCTGTGGAACCTCCTGTGGAATGATTGTATCAGGTACTGAGCGCTCACTGAGAATTACCAATTCCTTTTCATCCCTCTCTGCCATTACCACTTCACTAGCAAATATAACATTTTGTTCTTGTTTGTGTACTGTTGGAGTGAATGTAACAACATCTTCAGTGACAAAAAAGTGTTCACATTCTTCCAATACTTCTGGAACACATACTGTGTAGTTTGGTTGTACTGACATTAGAATATCTTCATTAGACAACTCAATTTCTTCAGCAATATTCAATGCCATAACATCATCATGATGCATGCTCTCTGCATACTCCTCATCAACATCAGCTGACTTCATGACATCAGATGTGAATATTATCTGTTTAACATTTTGTTCTGCCTCATCAAGAGCATAGCCTACATTAACATCATAGAGCACAGAGCTGGCAGTTGTACTTTCATCACATGATGTTCTTTGAGTCAAATCAGCGCTGTCAATTACATTGTGGATGTGAATGCTTTGTGGAGCAGACATTACAGATAGTTCATCTGTATCAATTAACACAGCAGCTGTCTGATCTTGAGTTAAACTTTGATGTAATGGCTTGCCAATTCCAGACTCTGGTTCATTCAGCGAAGCAGTCACAGACTTTTCAAAAAGCTGGTCTGAAGATTCCTGAGGAAGAAGTGAAGAATGCTTGCCTTCTCCAGGAATAGTGTGAACATCGTTCTGACCAAGGAATACAGCTTCAGGTTGTTCATTGGTGACAATAATATTATCTTCATGTGGGACAGATTCCTTGCATATGGCACAGGTGAACATTTCGGTAGACGTTATTTCTAATACCTCTTCAACATCTTCAGAAATAGAGTAATAAGTGACATTTTCCTTCACATAAATCTCAGGGACAGTATCTTCAGAGAAACTATTTGAAGTATCCAAAGAGAATGATGTGTTTTCTTCTGATATTGAGGTGTTCTCGTCTGACACTGAGGTGTTCTCTTCTGATGTTGATGCTTCAGTTTTGACACCATGAACAAAATCATTAAAACTTGGGACCTCAAACTCATTGTCTCTATCAAGTTCTACTCTTTGACACACATCAACACTCAGATCAACATCTATCACAGAGTCCACAGCTGATGTAACAGTCACACATGGGCTGGTCTCATCTGCATCGTTGACATCATCTTCAATTGTTTCTAGCATCTCCTCACTTTCATGTATAGAGTATTCTCCATCTTCATCTGAGTCTCCCAGTTCTCCAGAATCTGATAGGTCCAGATCATCCATCAATACCATCAAAGTCTTCATCACTACTACTACAACTTGAAGAGTCATCACTAGCATTAACAACCATATTGTCACTATTCTTGTTACAGCTTTCAAAACTGACCCTTTTAATAGACCCGTCATTAAAAGAAGGTTGATTGAGAACACAGCTTGTATTATCATTATTCACAATATCCAGTGGCTGGTGGACAACAATATTTCCTTTTGTATCCAAAATTTCATCATCAGATAAACGTTCAGATTTAATATTGGTAGCACAATCTCCATTGCCAAATTGTATCAGAGAACAACCACCTTCATTGATTCCTTCAGCTGAGGATTCACTTTCATGATCCCCCTCTTCAGTTGGAACAGACACCTCTCTACACAAATCAAATTCAACTTCAGGCTCTTGTGACAGGGCCATTTCAAAGGCAACAGCATACTGATCAAGTACCTCTTCTGTGTTCATCTTCTCACTATCTATTGAACCATCAGAATGTGAGTCTTTGAAATTGATGTGCAGTAGGGATGCAGTATTTTCTTTATTGTCTGGTGAAACTGGAAGGACTTTACACAATGGAGAACGTGACAGATCATCAATTAGACTTGAATCACCAAACTTTTCCTCAACACTTTCAGTCAACGAGGACCCATAACTATTATCTTTATCAGTAATTTCAGTATGGTATAAGGTTTTCTTTTTAACAGTTGCTGACATAGACAGTTCAGTTTCATCATCGGTTTGCTGTATGAGCACTTCCATAGCATCTGTATACCTCCCAATATTTGACAATGCATCTTCACAACACAAATCAGAGTGAGCACTTCCAACAGGTTTGGTCGCACCCACCAGTTGTGGTTGCATGGCAGCCATTGGATGAGGTGAAACGATATTGATATCACCTTCTAGATATATACTATCAACCATACAGGGAGAAATGATAGGTTGAGTATCTGATACACCTTCTTGAACATTTATATTTTCTAATGCAGCACTGGCAGGCCAATGAGATCCTCCTCCAGCTCAAAATAGGGTTTCTTTGTTGATGAACCTGACGCTGGGTCACAAAGTGTAAGGCCATTCAGTGATACTAACTCATGTTCCGGTATGATTTTAGGTGATACAACAGCACTTTCAATATACTCAGACACTGAAGCATCAGAGTCATGTGATTGTGAATCATTGTCATTAAAAGTAATCACATCATCATTTTCATTAGAAACTTCAGAAGTTTCTAATTGTGGCTGTGAAATTATAGCTGCAAGTTGCAGGGGAGTTTCAGTCACGTTATCAACAGATTTTACACCTGGTTCCCAACGTAATATCTCAGCAGAAGATAAAGGGTTAAGTAAGTCTGGTAATTTACTTTTGTCAGTCGAGTCAACATGTACAGAGTTATCAGATACAGAAGTGAAAGAGGGAGAAATAAATGAAGGTGGACTTCCAGAAGTTACAGAAGATACTTGGGACACAGGATCATGCAGGTCACCATCTGTTAATCGTGGAGAATTCAACATTAGTTTATTTTCCATAACACCAGGACTGCTTAAACCACCACCAGGACTTCTTAAACCACCACCAGCACCACTTACACCACCACCAGCATTATTATCACCAGACCCATTACTGCCATACGATACATGCTCTTCACCATTACTACTAGTTTCATTAAACACTAAGAAATTGCTTTTAATAATTTTATAACTATTTTTTAAATTTAAAAACGTGGTTTTGGCAAAACTTTCATCATCATTTTCAGTGGCCACACCAGTTTGATGAATATTCAAACGATCATTCCTAGTTTCAATGAAGGGTTCATGCATTTCTTTTTCAAAACTCCCAAAAGATGTTTGTGGATCACATTCTACTGTACACTTCTCGTGGTTAAGCTTTTCATTTTTGAAAACGTCATTACCTTCCCTGAAACTGATATCAACATCTAATTGTTGGCAAGAGAGCCCAGCATTATCAACTGAAGATGCTTCTGCACTATGAAATACCTGGCAATCATGACCTAATGTCATTTTACATGTCTTACAATTGTGCAATGGCTTTTTGTTAGTTTCAATATAGGACAACACATCTATTGACTTGCCTAAATCAGTATCCAGATTCCCATCACAAAACGATGTGACATTCTCTGTTTTATGATTGGACATAGTAGACAATGAAGTCGGTTTCACGTCAATTAAGTCTAAATTATTCATCTGGCTCAAACTGACTTTTCGTATGGTTTCCAGCTTTACAGGTGGAAAACACATTGTAGGACTGACAAGGTTTGTGTTGGGAACAACCTCATCATTTGTGGTAGTGTCTAAGGATGTACGTTGGATGGGAACCCCTTCCTCACTGCTATTCTGATCCAGATCATTAAATTGATATATGTTCTGACGTTTGTTTTCAAATGAAAGTGGGGAAACACTGTGAAGGTTTTGCAAGGTGCTGTCCTGTTTCCCATTTTTTGTACTACTTTCTAAATCAGACTCGCACTCTGTAGTAACAATGAAAGGATCAATTACACTACTATTTGTAACATGGGGAACAAAAACATCAAATTCAAAAGGATTAACAAATTCATCAATTTTCCCATCAGACTCATAACCTTTGTTGAATGAATATTCATCATCTGGTGTGACCTTTGACACTTGCCAATCTTGTTCAGAGGGAACAAAAATATCAGAGAGAAATGGATTGATTTCATTGGGTGACGTACCATGGTTGTCAGCATCTTGTGGGTCAATGCTGTTTCTCCTTTGTTCTCCATAAGGCATGAATGGATCAAGAGGAACATCACACATTGAAGCTTTCATGGTATCATCGCCATCATCATCATGTTCATTGTTTTTGTTCCAGTCACCCGTTTCATCCATAGACGTGTACGCTAACATATATGCAACAATGTTCCCTGTTCTAGCTGTTGATTTGTCCATACGAGAATAATCCTTCTTTCTGAATGTGATATCATCATCAAGCTTATCACTTGACACTTCTGCTTGCAATTTGCCTACGACATTGTCACTGGGTAATTCATTTGGAATTGATTTTCCAAAAACAGCATCATTCTCTATCTCATGTTCTGTTGCATTATCTGAAACATCTCCATTAGCATGGTCCATGGCATTTCCCATTACACCTTCTGTTTCTAAGTTATGCATTTCTGCAGCGAGCAAGTTAGCCACAATGTTACTATCAATATTATCCAAGTTTCTTTTTACAAACACGATATCCTCGTTATTATTTTCAATCTGTTCCTCCATGTTTCCAGCTATCATATGAGCTACAACATTTTGCGCTTGGCCTGCATTTTCCAATGCACCATCTCGCATAACAAACTGAACTTCATCGCTATTAACCATGTCCGAGGCAAGCATTTGACCAACGACATTTTGATCCTGTCCAATTGCACTAAATGCATTGTTTCGCATCGTAAAGTCAACTGTGCTCTGCATGTCCTTGGCAAGCATGTGGGAAACAATATTCTGGTTATCATTAACCATCAAGTCTCTACAGTTTGTAAAGTCCACCACCATATCATCAACTACACTAGAAGTGCTGTCATCTAATATATTCTTAGCCAACCTGTTGGCAACTATATTGTTCCTGGTATCTTCTGCAACCTTTCTTGTGGAGAATGCAACATCAGATGCACTAGATGTCAGCATCTCAGATGAAAGTGTCTGTGCCACTACATTGGTGCAAGCAATAGCAGGATCTCTCCTTGCAAACTTAACTCTGTCTTCTCCATTGCTAAGTTCTTGATAGGGCGTAATCTGCTGATAGTTATCTGTAGCTGTGACAGTATTTATTATTTTAGCCTCACGAGAATTTTTAACAGGATTACTCCCACTGTCATTCAATACATCTTCTTCCAGTTCCTCAACCTCACGTAGTCGTTCATGAACAGCATTAGCAATATCAGGATTACTTAAATCCAGAGGTCTGTGTCTCTCAGCATTTATCTCCATAAAAATATCATTATGGTCAGCAAAGGAGTTCTGAGGTGTCAGAGGAACACCTGGACTGCGACTGTTGTAGACAGGCATCTCTTGAGATCGTCTTGGAATACCTATTGGCAGCGATGAACTTTCAGGCATTGTATCATCACGTTCTAAATATTCTGGATTCACTGTGTCAAGTAAGTTTATAGAAGGTGTGTTGTTTTCCTGATCTCTGTCATTGGATGTTAGTATGTAAGGTTCTTTGCTCTTGAAAGATTCTGTGTTTTCAAAACCAAACGGATCACCATTGCTCTCTTGATTTGAAAAGATGTTTGACTGACCAGATACTGGAAGAAAAGGATCTAAATCACTGAATTCATTTGAAGCACCATGTAGATACATAGGTGGGCTTGTCATTGGTAGAGGAGGTCCATCCGTCCCTGGATCCTCATTGGTATTATTATTCAAATTTTCATTCATGGAACTCTCATCTTCCATAAATGTGGCAATGTTCTGTTCAGGGCTGATTGGTGTGTTGGTGTTCGATGTTGTGGCTGATGAAGAAAAATCTAACAAGCCCGATTCATCGGTTTTAGCAACTGACTGCGTATCACTAGCAAGGTCCATCACATCACTACTAGGCGTAACAACACCCAGTTCAGCTCTGAAGTCAGTAGGATCAACATTTTCCAAATACTCATTTAAAATTGGTAAAATCTTTTTTCGAGAGGCAGCAACATTTCCTTGGTGATACGCTGTGACTGATGTAACGTTGGTTGTCAAGGGAGATAAATCTAGATCAGGTGACACAGAGCATTCCAGTTTAAAAAGGATCTCCTGTTTAATGTTGTCATAACGACATGCAAACAATCCTAATTGTCTCGTAATTTCATCATCTATACTAATTGCCATCACAACCAAGATGTCAATATGATGTGTTTCACAAAAGTTCTTCATATCAGAAGCCATATCTGGTCGAGCAAGGAATTCCTGAAAGAAAAATAGAAGAATGTTGAGGAGGTTTTGGCTGGACAGACCTAAGACGAAAATGGCCACCGAGATCTCATTGAGCCCCTCAAATAGTTCCCTATTCTCTTCCGTCATCATTTCCACTATTCCTCTGGGATATGCAACCATGGGTAATATTTGATAAAAATGTTTTTAAAATCACATTACATAAACTACTACAAAAAGTGTGGCATGAACAGTTGGGACTTTCCGCATTCACCCTGATCATACATGTACACAGTAAAAGGGATGTTGAATAAAACATCATTCTATACTTTTTGATGTCTTCGAAGTTGCCTGGCTGTCTGTGCAGTTTAGACTGAGATATGATTTGAGATTAATTGAAATTTACCAAGGCATAAAAGTTGTAATGGTACATGTGTATAAGTGTTGAAGGAATTAATTTAGTGATCCTGTTCAAGCATAGAATACACACTTCACATAAATGCATGTAAGAAAGGCTTTCATTGATATTCTTCATACATGTACTTGTCAAACACCAAAAAACAATAATATGAGTATATTACAAGAATATTGCAAGGAGCTTATACTTTGTATTATTATACATCTGTCACCGTAACGTGCCGTAATTTTGCGGTGATTTACAGGGTATTTTCATCCTACCATATAAGGAATTGCAAATTGCAAATATGGAACAATTATGCACGTAAGCATTCTCTAATAATAAAAACAAACATGGATGCTATCAGGGTTTGACCAGACTCCACATAAAGAAATTCGCTGATTCTGATCTATGATGTATCCTTGGAAGGAAAAGATGTATAATAATAAGGTTATTACGAGGATACTTCAAAGTACGCACTCAGACAGTACGCCGCGCATCGACCTCTGCTGAGCGTATACTAAGCATACTTTGAGATATCCTCGTAATAACCTCATAGTATTGTGATGATAACCTTATTATTATACATCTTTTCCTGCTTGTAGTAATACTTTAGGAAACAATGGCGAAGAACGTTTTGCGCATTGTGAATGACTGTGTTCACCAAGCACTAATAACAATTTTGCTTCTGAAGTTAAAACAAAAGAAAGTGTTCGAATGTCACGTAAATGTGACGAACAATTTCTAAATAAGGAACACTTTCAAACATGTCCGTAAAGCGTTTTACAGACAGAAAAAAATCTATTGTTTATAGTGTTAGATGTATTATAATAATTTGAGATCTTTTCTATTTCCTACACAACCAAACAAAGGTTTTTAACCATCCACATAGACCATTTTCCTGGAAGTAGCCAGACTGAGGAGCCAGATATACTCCTGTTTTGTCATGACAGAAAGTACAAACATGTCAGCTCACTGACAGTCGATAGAAAGAAATTTTTATTTTTGTGAGCTTGATTGGTACACAATATAGTTCACATTATACCCCGGAATGTTATGCATGCACATTTGAAACGCTTTGATTTTCAGGAAAGTTGCCTATTATTTTAACATCACAAAATATGTCATCACTAGACAGGGATAGTTATAGAGAGACATATTCATGTGCTTGGGATAGAATCACATCTTACCTTGAGGTCCATGGTAACTGAACTCACTCCAATTCTGAGGACATCATTATTAATGCATTTTAAATCTTTTCGAAGAATTTCCTCAGTTAGTAAACCTGCAAGTACAAAGTTATTAAAATAATTATTTTATGAATACATTGCTATTCACTTCGACAGGAATACTGAAATTGTTTACATGAATTGATGACAGCACTTGGTTTAATAAATGCCTACGGTATCTTGTAGCCACCTGTCCACAAATGTTGTGATTGTTAATTTGACAAATGTCAATTTTAGTGTCACATTTGTGGTCTCTACAATACAAATATTAAACAAAAACTACATGTAGCTGTAGCCCAACATGTAGGCGTGTGTAGCGCCCTCGCCAGCCGAACGGCATCAGACCTCACTAACGCCTGATAGAATAGTGTACCTCAAGGTGACAAGATCAATACTATGAATTTGCAATTCACGCCACCTTGCAATGAGTTCGATGAATATTCATTTTGGTGGTTATGGTAATCAAAGCCGTATTTGCATTGTCAGCAATAATCACAGACTGTTTTCCACAAAATAATAAACATTAGGCAGAAATTTGCCAGCACCTTATCACACATTATGTCAACAAATAAATAAACTCTGCCGTGAATGGTTACTCATTGATGGCTGTCACTATCTGTCGTTACTACAATTTGATTAGTACCGACAAAAAATCCTCGGGGGAGGTGAAAATCTACATCACTCTGTCAGGTGTGTGTAGGGTTTCGAGAACCACAGAGGGCGCAACTCACGCGATCTTGTCAGGCTAATGTAGCTGTAAATGATTTTTTTTACCATAAATTTTACATCACAAGTTGTCTACAAACGTAAAAATGCAACTTTTTTTTACAAAACCTGAATTCGTAGCCATAAAATTGCATACATGAGGCCACAGATTTACATTTGCAGACAAGCAACCATAAATTTGTCGTCATGTCACACTCATGGCCACCTTTTACAAATGTTCCATTGTCATTTGTACATATAAGGTCATAATATTTCCACAAAAGTCAATTTTGTCTTCAGGTGTCACATTTGTGGATGCTGTTTACAAATGTCATATTTATGACTATCAATTACCAAAGTTTCTTCATGAAGGAATATTCGATAGAAAAAAACAAAATCCTGACCTGAAATGTCACACTTCGCTGACTGCAATGCATCAAATAGATCATCTTTGTCCATATTTGGGCAATAGTCTTGAAGTAATGAAGCTATCATTTCATCTTTCATTGTAGTTTTACCAGCTGCTGGGTCAAAGTTCACGGTGTCCAGGACAATGGTACCTAGGTGAAAGAGTACATGATGTATTGTTACTATTTCAAGAAGAGAAGGTGGTATAATCTTTTATTTTTTCTGGTGAAGTTATCATTTTTAGTAATGATTTATAAAATAAGACTATGCAACACAGGTATCTGTGTATGGGGATATTCAATGAAGACAATAATCAGCATACACGCCAATCAAACGCATTTCCAGACATGGTAACGAAAGAAAGGTTCAATAGGTGATGTTGCTTGAAAGACACACACCAAACAAGTGCCGCAAAAAATGGTTTAATTTTGAACTCAAATTTTTTATATTGTAGCTCACATTGAAAGGCCGATCATTGACAGGGGACTATTGCTTTTGAATACCGTTACTTCATCGTAATTGACAATCATCAAATGTGGACAGCACATTACTAAGCGCGGAAATGTCTCCGAAATACTTTTGCGTTTGTCGAATCCCTTGCGATGTTTGACGCCATTACGACGACTTTTGTTTGTCCTGTTTTTACGTTCGATTTCACGCATAAGACGGGGACGGAAAATGGTTCATTGCATTAACAGGAATGAGTGAGATTATTGTTTTATTGAAAAACATAAAACACCTGTAATACAGCCTTTGCAAATATGCTAATAACACCAGTACATAGCCCAAGGCAAACATTATCCAGTTCTTACACATACTCACACATTATCTCAAGAAATGTGTATGGCATGTGAATTTGTGATTATCTCAAAATTCATACGACTATTCGTAGGTGAATTTCTTGCATTATTTTTTTAACCAATTCAACACAATTTTTGATTGACTACAGATTTTGATCAAAATTTTGAAAAAAATATGAAAAAATGTGGGTTTTAATTTGTGTAATTTGACCTTTGACACTCAAAGGGTTAGAGAAAAATCATGAAATATATTTTCTCTGTTAGAATATCCAATTGAAGAGCATGTAAATGAACAGTTGCATGTATTGTATGCTGGATCATTAAAATATGACTTATTTTGATCATTGACACATCTGTCATTTACGTAAGCACAGGTGTCACTAACAGAGTGAATAAGCCGGCCACTGTTAGCATAGTAGTTATTGAAAAATGGAACAATATTATTGATTTTAAGGTTTTTATTATTATTGAATAAGATTTGTGATCAGTATACCCCAGTTATAATTCTACTTTAGGCTGAACATGGACAAGAGTTACCCCTACCCTGGGTGAGTGTGCCACAGACTCAATGGGAAAGCCAACCGCACTGGGTGATATTCATTCACCAATGAATGCGACTTTGGAGGAACCTTGGTTAAGGGACGCAGATGATTGTGTTCGAATGGGCTTGGTTGACACTAAGTTGCCATTTGATAGGGAGATGATTGCACTACCATGTCATGGAGTCCCATATATTATTATAGCTTGCAATTTGCACATAAAAAAAGGGCAGGAGAGACAACGAATACAGTAATAGACAATAAGCACAGCAGCTGATGCCCTTTTACCCCTAATCACGTATGCAACAACTGATTTCAGGGAACCCTGATAAAAACATTGAAACGCACCTAGTAGTAGCATGGCTATTTCCTCTGTGATCATATCCACATTGTGATTCGCAATCTTCTCTGTTACCAAGGTAACACAAGATCCCACCATCTCTATAGTCACATGGCAGTCATCATCTCCATTACCACGTTGGTTACTATGGTGATCTATCACCTCAGTGACCGTCTTTTCAAGAACTGCATCTTTTGGTTGTAAAATGTTATGATCCACTAAAGTGAGTGACAGTTTGTTTTCATCTTTCAGATTCAGTAAATTAATCTCATCGAAGAAGGTGAGGTTTGCGTCGCTGATGTCGATAAAATCCAGGAAATAAGTAACCTCTGTACGTAATCGGAATTCATCTCGAGGAATATTTAAAACAGGAATATAGGCAGTGTCTTCAGTACTCTCTTTTGTCTGTAAAAATAAAAAAATATATATATATTTGTGTTATAATTTTGATCAATTTGGAAGCAATGTCTGTTTGTTTGGTTCAAAATAAACAGTTAAGGTAGAAGCCTAGTCATAATTTTTGACAAAATTGGTCATAAATTGCATGACAATGTTCATTAGTTTATTATGTACAATCATGAAGCTAATGTCCCATGGTACAATGAAATAGCATTATTTTGTGTCTTACAGTTTTTGAGAAGTTTTACGTGTTCTAATATTTCTTGAAAATTGCTATTTTTAAAACAATTCCATAAAACACAATGTTAAAGAAAAATTGCATTTTTTAACACTTTTTAAAACCCAGATTTTTTAAGTAATTCACACTAACAAAAAGTACTCCATCATTAACAATATGTGATTTTTTTCAGCCTATGTCACCGGGCTAGATTTTGAGATATTGCATAATATCTCTGCCATAGGAAACTGTGGTAAAAGTGTTTTGCTTAATTCGGGTGGAAACAATGTTTCTGCAAAAGTTAAATGTAAACGATGTAAAATACAGCAAACATTTTACCACTATGTTATTGAGCATTCTTAACATTTTTAGAATTAAATGCAATTTTTTTGAAAGGCGCATACAAAAAAATACAAAACAAACATTTTTGACAAAAAGCTCAATAACCTTTGAAAATTTATCAGAAATGATGTCACAGAAATGACATCATAATCAGCATACACATAGAAAACATAAAGCTGACTTCAAACATGTGTTACTAATTCGTCTCTTACAAATGCTTTATTATATTTTTATATTTTATCAATACTAAATATATTATTATAAATTTTTTTTTAAAAGGTTTATGGTTTATGGCATTTTTCAGTTATTTGCTAGAAAATTGTATAAAACATTTACAGACATTCTATAAAATTTCTGTGGAAATGAACGTTTTATCAAATTTCTATATTTTATAAATCCTACATGTATTACTATAAGATTTTGTTTTACAATTTTATGGTTTATGGCATTTTCATTCATTTTGATAGAAAATTCTATAAAACATTTACAGACATTCTATAAAATTTCTGTGGAAATGAACGTTTTATCAAATTTCTATATTTTATAAATCCTACATGTATTACTATAAGATTTTGTTTTACAATTTTATGGTTTATGGCATTTTCATTCATTTTGATAGAAAATTCTATAAAACATTTTCGACATTCTATAAAATTTCTGTAGAAATGAATACTGTAAATAGCTCAATTATTTGGTGAGTTTTATTGTCACTTATTTCGCTGATAGCAAAACACGCTAAATTAAATAAATACAAGTTAAAGCGAGAGGGTCGTCGTCTGCGCATGTGTGGGAATTGGGTCCCAAGCGACGAGGTGACGACTCCCTTGCTTTAATATGCAAAGTCAACAATAGAATATAGTGTTTCCTTCACCATGAATTTTATAACAAGTTAATATCATATCCGCTAAAATTAAACTTAGTGAATATTTTCCTTCTACAGTACTGTGAAATCATTTATTTTCAGTGACATGTAATTTCACTATTTTGAGCATATTCACTGGGTTTTAGGTTCACAAATGTGTCAAGGAAACAGTGAGTTTTATTGTTATTTTACATGTTCATGTAGATTTAATTTAGCAGAACATAGAGAAATCAAAACCCAGTGAACAATTAATGCATTTACAGTATTCCATATAATATTCGCAGACATCATATATTTTGTCAAAAAGCCAATCATTCTTCAAGCATTTGCCACGAAGACTCAGTCACAAAATTGACACCATAGTCTGCATACTAAGTATATGCATGTGCCGTACATATAAAATGCTTAATGCTGCATTAGATGCCAAGCATCTGTTATTAATGCCTCACACAGTAAACCAACACAGACATATTGTACAGAGGTTTTTCTAGAAAAAAACTGAAAGAAGGAGCACTGCAATTCAGCGACACCACCAAGTGGGGGAGATAGGGTTCTCCCTACCAGGGTATGGAGTTTTTGATAATTCTAAGTTAAATGAAGCATTCTATGGCTTTCTTGGGGCCAAAATTACTATCAGACAGGTCACAGTTGAAGACTATGGCCACATGTGATCCTTGATCAATCAGAATTTTATGGTTGCCAGGGGATCTGCTCCCTAGGGTAAGGGGGGGGGGGGCATGGCCATGGCATGAGGGCGCTGCGCCCCTGTTCCCTTGTTTAAAAAAATCCCTGTTGTACATATCATATCCTGGTAACTGTACTTTTTTATTTATTTTTTTAAAAATGTTTTTGTGCCAGGCGACAGTTCTGGACATTAAATGTCTCTGTTGTCCCCTGTATGTGCAAATTGCAAGTGCTGACACATAGTGCATTTTTGCCACAAGAAGCCAAGTTTGAGACTACATGACAGGGCTGTGCAGCCATCTCTCTAAATGGCAAATTCAATGAGCTGTCCTGGCGTCAACTAGGCTCAGTCGAACACAAGCACCTGCGGACTTTAACCAAGGTTCCCCAAAAGTCGCATTCGTTAGTGAATGAGTCTCGGCCAGTGGAACTGGCCTTCCCATTGAGTCTGTACTTAACCACTAGGTGAAATAAAATCTTCACCAGCCAAGGTCTGTTCATTCAGCCATACAATGACAAAAATATTCACAAAAAATAGAGATTTGAAGATATCATAACGAAATGAACAAATCTGAGAGAGGTCTGCCCAAGGTACATATACAACAAGTTGACACGGACTACCACTCATATGATAAGCTCTGCTCGACTAAGTTGACAGCGGAGTTAAAAAGTGCAGAAAAATTTGGGTGAGAAAGTCTGATGGTGAAAAGGTCAGAGTGCAAAGGTCAGAGTGCGCCATGTACGGGTTACGCCAAGGGTTTATATAAATCCTTGGCTATGCCAACTTTGATTGGGTGTATGTTTAAGAGAGGCATCCAATCAAATCCATGTATTTTACCAAGCACAAATACGTAATCATGTATGGGGATATGTGATGGAGATCTCACTAGAATTGAACTCTGGCGTTTTGCAAAGGCTTGCAAGCAACCTTATTACATGTGCATTAATCAGACGTAGTTCTGACCAATAGCGTCACAGAACTCAGTGGGTGGTTGGAAATTTAGACAAAAATGAAGTGAAATTTTTCGCATTCAAAATTGCAAAAACGCAGGTTGTACACACTTTGCAAAAAGCAGAGAATACCAAAAACGACTCAAGATGATTTCAAATCAGGTTTCACAGACTCACTAATTTGCATTGGGATTACTAGAAATATAGTTTTTTTTGTGATTTTGTCATCATGTCCCAATTTTCTCAATTCGTGTAGGATTGTTATCACATATCAAACCCTTACATACCCTAACCTTATATATCCCTGGCTAGGAAAACTATGATTGGAGGCATGTTTTACAGATGTGTCCAATCAGATCTATGTATTTTACCAAGGTCAAATACGCTACCTTTTGGAAAAATCACACACAGGTGATTTTTACATAGAATTTGCAATTTGTGTGATTTTGACAATCAGCTACTACTAAACCTATATTTTCAAATTTCATAATTTATGTGGTTGACACACTCTGTGTCACCAAAACAAGTTTATCACCCTGGATTGCAGTTCCACCAATCAGTACTCACCTGTGATAGAAACCATGCGTATACAATAGCTGAGATGGTGGAATCTAAGTCACATGACTCATTACCAATGACAACATGAACTTTCGCATACTGATTCAAGTTATTCTGAAAAATAGAAAAAAATAGGATTTCAGCAAAGATTCTAAGCATTAGTGATGTATCGTGAGCAGAAAACCCTAGATTCTGGATTATCTGAAGCAAAGATTCTAGGCATTAGTGTAGGTTCAGGATTATTCAAAGCAAAAATTCTAGGCATTAGTGATGTATAGTGAGTGGAACACCCTAGATTCTGGATTATCTGAAGCAAAGATTCTAGGCATTAGTGTAGGTTCAGGATTATTCAAAGCAAAAATTCTAGGCATTAGTGATGTATAGTGAGTGGAACACCCTAGATTCTGAATTATCCAAAGCAAAGATTTTAGGCATTAGTGATGTATAGTGAGTGGAACACCCTAGATTCTGGATTAACTAACACTTGAATAATAATAATAATAGTATCACAAAAGGAATGTCTGGCAGTCAGCACTACATGTATAAGCTCAGTGACCTCAATCATTTATGTCACATAACTATTAACAGGTATTATATCAACCCCATTACACAGCATGTTTAATTCTGTTACCATGGTAACCGGACAAAAAAATAAAAACGTGATCAGAGTTTGAGAATTCAAACCTATGTATGCACTACAAAACTGAATTTTTAAAAAAAACAAGAAAAATTGAAACATTGCGAAAGAAGCCTTATTTTTCATCACGTTTAATAAACAATGAATAATTAGTTACTATGACGATTTTACAGTCCGAGTGTAACATGCCATTTTGCTAGGTATAACTTTTTCACCACCAGACTTTCTCATCCAAACTTTTGAGCCAACAAAAAACAATTTGAGTCAATTTTCAGTTTTGACTCAAAAACTTTTTATATTTTAGTCCCAATCTTCTGAAAGGAAGTGCAGACTATAAACAGGACTATTTTTTTAAAATTCTGATGAAAAGTGGGAGCTGGTGGTGCAAAGGTTAAGCTGCCTCGAAGATACATGTAGTTTGCTTTTAAAAACTATCACATACTGTAGAATACTTTATTTTTGCTTGGAATTAATGTTTGCTATTTTCCCTGAAGGGATGATTAAAGGTTAAGCTGGCTCAAAGATACATGGAGTTTGCTTTTAAAAACTATCACATACTATAGAATACTTTATTTTCGCTTGGAATTAATGTTTGCTATTTTTGCTGAAGGGATGATTTAGTGAAAATAAAATCCAGCGAATATACATTTTTTCCTATGTTTTAGTGAAAATAAATTCCATACAAAACACCCAAAAAGTTTATTCAGCGAAAATTAATTCCATCTAAAATAAAGTATTCTACAGTATCTAAATTGTCAGAGTAATCTACAGTAATCATCTTCCCTTTGATTAATGATTTGAGCGCCATCATTATTTCTGACAACATTTTGATGTGATAATTTGTTAGTTTTTATGTATTTTTCTATAACTTTGTTGATAATTTTGGACCAAATAGACATAATTTTATATTTATTACATGTCTTGATCAAAATTTTGTTAAAATTATAAATAAATTATGTGGGTTTAAAATTTTGGCAAAAGTTGACTAAGGTGCTCAGTAGGTCAAGGTAGAAGCCTATTCATAATTTTTGATAAAGTTTGTCATAAATCGCATGACAATGTTCATTGGTCTATTATGTGAAATCAAAGAGCTATTGTCCCATGGCACCATGAAATAGCATTCTTTAGTGAGTTACAGTGACGTATTTCAAGAAACATGACATAATATTTTTCAAAAATAGCTATTTTTAGAACAATTCCATAGAGCGCAATGTTAAACAAAAATTGCATTTTCCAACACTTTTTAAAATCCCGATTTTTGAAAAAAATCAGGAAAGCAAGAAGTACCCCATCGATAACAATATATTATTTTTTCAGCCTATGTCACCAGCCTACAATTTGAGATATGGCATAATATCTCTGCCATAGGAACCTATAATACTACCAAAATGGCCGCTATCTACTAAAATACAACCATGATTTGCTCAAAAATTAACCTGGTGACCCCCAACTTATTTTAAGTCAATATTCTTATATTGCCAGAAGTACAATTTATTAAAAAAATGAATAAATTCTGGGTATTTGAAATCATGAGTAGGCTTCTATCTTAATACAAAAGACAGCATGTCATCACAGTATATTTGATGACATCATATCCCATCTTTGTCATAGCTGGTCTCCCTATGCTATAATGGTTGATCCAATATTTGATTAATAATACAACAGCAGGTTGTCTACTCTATTTATTGACATCAGATGGTCATTGAATTATTAAATACCACAAATTGCTTCACAATGTGAATACCACTTCAACCATTTGTTGTGTGCCTTTTATTTTTATGAATTAGGAAAAAAGAAACAAATCATGTTCTGATAACCCAGGAATTTTTTTAAACAAGGGAACAGGGGCGCAGCGCCCTCATGCCAATGCCATGCGCCCCCTTACCCTTGGTAGCAGATCCTCTGGCAACCATAACATTTTGAATGACCAGGGATCACAAGTGGCCGCAGTCTTCAACTGTGACCTGTCTGGTAGTAATTTTGGCCCCAAGGAAGCCATAGAATGCTCCATTTTAACTTAGAATTTTAACATATTAAAAGTTTGCATGGGGCAAACTGACAAAAATCTCTGCAATTCAAAATTGATATTGTGCTAAAGTCCCCAATCGGTCTGTCCAATCAGTAATGTAGCAACAAGAGAACACACCTAGAAAACTCAAATTTGTTTTGGAACATGATATCATTGAAGTTCAACTGTGAATGAATTGTATTAGGCAAAGATTTCTGAATGTTTACTTTTTGTAATTTCTTGGATTGATTTGAGGACTATTTCATCAAAATAATTCATGTCAAGTTTCCATGGTGATGAAAGTGATAAACTGAAAAAACGAATTTGTCTGGCATACTGGCAGGAGATGAGTTTTTCTAAATTTGGTGAGTTCGTAACTTTCGGGAAATTTTGTCTGCACAAATTACTTAAAATCTTGAAGTTATGAGAGTCATGAAAATTGCTAGCAGTGGAAAATCAGTTTATAGTAAATTTGTTGTTGAAAAATCTGAATGTAATGTAATTGTTTGGTGATTGGTTAAGGATTAGTGAAGACCCAATACTACCAATATACAGAGAAATATTTGTCACCTCAAATCGACTGATTGCCATTCCCTTCAAGAGTCAACAATGGTATATTCCTCCATTTTACGCCACGACTCGAAACAGTCGCTTTTGCTTGACGTGTTCATTTGCCTTCAATAACATTTCAGTGGCTGTCACTGTTGTATTTTGAGTCATGCCGATTACATTTTGGTTCAAATTCAGGTAGCTATCGCCAAAAGAACAAATACAATTAAAGCAATAACAATGCTTTTGCCCTTGGTTTAAACCTTAGTCGGGAAATGAGTATTTTGGGGAGTATCTCTCACAATTTATATCACCCTGTAACAGACTGACGGCATTACCGCATATCGATGGTCGATGGGGTCTATTCTCACAGATAATACTGGATTAACGTTATCAAAAACTATGTTAAGATGAACACAACCATCCAGTACACCCCCATTCCTTGAGGAATGGTAAATGGGGACAAAATCAATGACAACACACACACCATTCGGGAACAAAATACCAAAGAACTGTATTCTTCATTGTACCGCTCCGAAATACAAGACACACTAACTAAAAAAAAAAAGACTGAGGGATAACATAATGACATTATAATTCAATCATGTGACTTTAAAGCCAGCACATAATAGACCAAGAGAAGTTATATGCGTACTATTTCCATATATGGATTGCAGTGTTCCCGTCAAATGTAGATTCCCAGGGTGGGTGATGTTTCATGAATACATGTATACACAAAACTATATTAATGTCTGTGTAATTAAATAATTCCATGACAATACATATAGACTGAGTAACTGGGTCATCATCTATCTAAACACTACACCAGTTGAACCCCGGTAGCTCCAGCGTAATAGTAATTTCAGCATACTACTGATCTGATTGCTATTTTTAATAATAACCATGAACATTCTTGAAGTATGATTTTACAATTATTGTAATTTCAGGTTTATTGTTGGAATGTGATCAGTTCTTGTACATGTATTTTGCAAATTGCTGGCATTCTGAACGTACATATACATTGTAGTAGTGTCAGTGATAACGCAGAGCTAATAACGATGTGTACATCATACAATGCCACAAAATAAGTTGACAACAGAATGTATATTAATGTAAGTAACAAGGTTTTACAAATGCAATGACATACTTAGAACATTTGTCATGTTCACTGAATACCATTAGCCTGTTGTACATACAAATCAGCTTGTCTAGACAAGATAATTATTGTACCACATGTCAAAAGAAGCAACTAGTAAAATGCGCTTTAATTCATCCATAATAAATGGAAAATAAACAAAAGATTATTTTTGGTGATGGCTGAGCTTTAAAAAAACAAAGAATTTTTTTGAAATATTAATGTGTTTTAGTCAATGATAGACAACATTGTAGGTGTCATTAAATACATAATTGTAGTCACTATAGACATTGTAGACAATTGTAGATGTCTAGGTAGACATAATTGTAGACAATTGTAGATGTCAATATAGACATCATTGTAGACAATTGTAGATGACAATATAGACATCATTGTAGACAATTGTAGATGTCATTATAGACATCATTGTAGGCAATTGTAGATGTCTAGATAGACATCATTGTAGACAATTGTAGATGTCAATATAGACATCATTGTAGACAATTGTATATGTCTAGATAGACATTGTAGACAATTGTAGATGTCATTATAGACATCATTGTAGACAATTGTAGATGTCAATAAATACATGATTGTAGATGTCGAGATAGACATCATTGTAGACAACTGTAGATGTCATTATAGACATTGTAGACAATTGTAGATGTCAATATATACATCATTGTAGACAATTGTAGATGTCGTTATATACATCATTGTAGACAATTGTAGATGTCATTGTAGACAATTGTAGATATCAATATATACATCATTGTAGACAATTGTAGATGTCATTATAGACATCATTGTAGACAATTGTAGATGTCAATATAGATATCATTGTAGACGTCATTATATGAAGTTTGCAATCACAGAGATCTAGAAATCTTTGGTTATCTAAATATATTCTATTCTATTCTATTCTATTCTATTCTATTCTATTCTATTCTATTCTATTCTATTCTATTCTATTCTATTCTATTCTATTCTATTCTATTCTATTTGCAGGCTTTCTGTATTTATTATACATTTTTGGCACCTTAGTAGATGATTCAATTAGCACACTGTATTTGACAAGCCACACCTCTTAGTGATTTAGATGGTACCCAGACATTAGCAACCTGCTGGTATTTTCCCAAAATGTCCTAAGCTAATTTTGAAACAACTGCCTCTATAATTTTGTTCATGACTTTGTGAAGGCTTTTAAATTTTTTACCCTCAGACTTTCTCGCCCAAATTTACACGTTTTTCTTATACTTTTCAATATTTTTGGAAATGAACCCTTTTTTGGAGCCAACAGACAAAATTTGAGTTAATTTTCAGCTTTACTCAAAACATTCTGCTATTTTTGTCCCAGTCTTCTGAAGGAAATTGCATACTATAATACAGGAGTACTTTGTGAATGTGTGATGAAAAGTAGAAACTGGCTGTGAAAAGGCTAAAAGTTTCTTCTGGTATAACCGGACAACTGCCAATTTGACCTCTGTATGGAGTATATGTCTATCGTGACCTCAGTGAAATGTTGAGACCTTCCCTAATGTGATTTGCAGAAATATGTCTGACGTAAAACTAAAACGGTTAGTAGTACTCTGCCTGCTGCGTTTAAAGATGACCTCTGTTCATATCAACCATGGGAAGAATGTTATAAATATGATATGACAAAATACCGGTAATGTCATCCAAGGATGGAAGTCTGCAACGCTTGATAAGAAACAATGAATGAAATACCGAACTTCACTGAGGCATCAACAAAAAAAAAAGTGTTTTTCAATTCACTGTGAGATCCTGCATATTCTGTGAAAGGCGTGACCCTAATGTCTTACACAAAAATTTAATCAAACGAATTTGAAAGATTTTGACTTTGAGATATCCTAACTTAATCAAAATTGAACATCATAAAATGTGTATTGCACATTATTAATTAATTAAGCATAGAGATACCCTACAATACTTTGACGAATCACACAAGATGATTGGACGCCATTACAACACTTTGTCCTGTTTTTTTATCTAATTTCGCACATAATTTGGAATACATAATGAACAAAAAAATGATATATTGCCTTGATGCCTATTGAGCTTTTCTTGGTGCCCTTCACTATTCCAAATATATTCTGACAAGCTAAGGGACAACATCAAAAGTTCAATGTAGGATAAGAAACTTAATTCCTTTAGTTTTTTTCCACCCCCCCCCTCCCCACTGAAACTTAATTGATAAGTATTGATGATTGCGTCAGACTGCATTCACCATCAAATACATATTATTTGATAATCAAACAGTAGTATGGCATAAAAATTACATATTTACACTCCAACCAAACCATTTTCTCGTCTTGGATTTTTTTTTTTAATTATTTTCTGTTGTGTTTGTCCATGATTGGATAGAAAAAAAAAAAACTACAAATACTCCAAGATTTTTTTGACTTCATTAAAAAATAAAATTGTTTTTGTAGGATGGAAACTTTTTGAGGCCAACCCCTTTCCTCAAACTAAAGCAAATAAGTTTTTTATCCGACATCGATCTTTTGATGTTGTCCCTAAGACCCTTTTATAAATTTCAGCCTAGTCCCGGATTTGTCTAAAACTACCTAATTAGAAACATCAAACTCAACCAGGAACATCAAAACTAACCATATTACATATTATTAAAAACAAGAGGTTAATTTTAAGATAATTCACGTGGATGATTGACTAAATTTGTGGGTATTTTACATATTATGGTAGATTGTAACAAAATCTGTACGACAACATATTTTTTCACATCTCATCATGTGTGAATCTAAATAATTCTACAGTAAATAATAGTGAACAAAATCAATCGTTTGACCACTAGTATAATAATTCCTGTTTTGCAATGCCAAGAGTTGAGCTAATTGGTGAGATAAAAAGTGTCTTACTGACTCTGAGTGAAGGAAAAAACAACCAGAGACAGTATACAGTCCTAAGATAATATGATTTGTACTACCAATGACAAATCTTAATCAGTGCCATGGAGTCCAGACAATTGTTTTTAAACTAACCTAAAACATTGTTTGGAGATACAGCTAATGAAGCAAATAAAGTAACATTTATTTTTTGTGGATTTTATGTAATGCAAAATTTGATTAGCAATTTATGCAGCTCCTTTTTAATTTAAATAGTAAGCCCCTGATTCAAAAGTGTTAAAACAAACAAACAAACAAACAAACAAACAAACAAACAAACAAACAAATAAACAAATAAATAAATAAATAAATAAATAAATAAATAAATAAATAAATAAATAAATAAATAAATAAATAAATAAATAAATAAATAAATAAATAAATAAATAAAACAAAGTCCTGACAATGTTAAATTGAACCTTGCAGGACACAGAGAGAGTTCAATAGCACACTTACTCAGACTGGATCCGAGTGCGGTTACTACGAGGATATCAGAAAATATATGTATCACAAAGTCACTACAGCAGGAACACTAACTCAAAAACAATGGATGTAACAGTGAATGGTTCAAGTTTATACACAGCACTTCATTCTTGAAATAACCTTATCTTCTTACTTAGAGATTGAAACCCTGAACTACCTAAGGCAGTGATATTCGGGAATGCTTTTCATAAAGCCAAAATAAAACAAATTATGTGTTTCTAGTAACAGAAAAATACTGGGTAGGTAGCAGGGATTATCATCTTATTTTATTTATTTTTTGTTAATGTGTTGTAGATTTTTGTGAGAACATAATCATGGTTTAACTACAGATGTGAAAAATGACATCTAATTTATTTTTCAGAATATATTTTCTTAATACAATGAAGTTCTATTCTTTCACTACATAGTAACAGTCTAAGAAAAATACTGGGTAGGGACTTTCATTTTATTTAAATTTTTTTTTTTTAATGTGTGGTGGATTTTTGTGAGAACATAATCATGGTTTAACTACATTTGTGAAAAATTACATCTGAGTTATTTTTCAGAATATATTTTCTTAATTAATACAACTAAGTTATATTCTTTCACTGCATAGAAGAAAGTACATGAAATAAAAAAAATAGAATATCTGTGGAATGACTACAGCTAATTTGCATAAAAATTATATGTTTGAGCTCATTTGCATATAAAATTAACTTTTTGACTTTTTTCCTCTGAAATGGATAAAGCAAGGTTACTGGAAATGAAAAATTTTTTTTACTGTATTTGGCTTAAATTTTGATTCCTGGTGTCTGGGGAATATCTTTTAATCATTTTATTTAATTTTTGAATACTGTAAAATACTTTATTTTAGCTGGAATTAATTTTCGTTGAAAAGAATTTTTGGATGTTTTGTATGGAATTTATTTTCACTGATTTCTGACAAGTTTAATTTAAAATATAGGAAAAAAGGTATATGGGCTTGATTTTATTTTCACGGAATCATTCCTTCGGCGAAAATAGATTTCAAGCGAAAATAAAGTATTCTACAGTATCTAAACAAGGAAGCACGCAGATGACAAAACATCACAACCTATACTAGCTGACTGATGCAGCTACAACCTTCTTATAAATACATTACACTATTAGTTCTTATATTACCATGCACTTTTACTTATTTTGACCTTTCAAGAGAACATGAGCGTTAATATTTTTAGAAATGACGTCACGAACATATTTGATATTTTCAACCGAGGCTTATAAAATCATATTTATATTTTTGTATAGGGGGGCGTTTCACCGACAGCGGAGTAAAACAGCACTACTTAACAGAATCACACCTCGCTCGTTGTTGCATTTTATTCGGTGACTGATTAACGGTGCCATAGCGAATAAAAATAGCTACCATGACGAAAACCGCTCCTAGTGAAACCATGCATGCGTGGACATCGTCGTGTGTTGTTGTCAAGGAATGTTTTCGTTTTGAACAGGCATCAGCTGACCGCTATCGGACGCAGCAATAATGAGCGCACATTTTGCATATTTCACGCACTTACCAACTGGTTTTTCGATTCCTTCAGGAACAGATCCATATTTACGGTTCTTATATTCCCATATCACATCGACGAACGACACAGTACTTTAAAAATCAACTGTTTATATCCACAGGCGGCCGATGAACCACCTTCCGATGAACTCCGATCACTCGTGAGTGAAGTCCGATCTGCGCATGCCCCTTGGTTACCCCGTTTCGCGATTGCCCGTAGGTATCTGAAAAGAACGAACATGAACTGAAGACAAGTGTGGAGCTTATCTGACATACAATATTTATGGTCACACGTTTATGCATTGCTGAAGTACAGAAAAGTTAACTTTTTCCTGTTTGTCAGCTCGATGGAAAAGTCGATGCGGCATTATGGAACCACTCCGTAGAGTCAGTTTCGGGTGAGTCAACCTTTGACCTAAAATGAAAATAATATATTTTTTTCCTCGGTACGAACGTTTTTATATCTTTAAGTATTTGTCTATAAGAACAAATATTCGTGCAATGATAACACTAATTGGTTAAAACAAAGCAAAACGTTTAAAAAATACATTCGCGCAAGAATACACAAAACGCATGACGTCGCAATAGTTGTTTAGTAATTTCTGATGACGTTTTCAACGCAAACATTTCTTGTCGTCTGGAGAATTTCGCCCTCATATTCCGCTGTTGTAGCAATCTATATATGGATAATTTGACCTCCGCTTTGCACATTTGTGTTAGGGGTCGTTTTCGACAGCTCATGTCCTACCGAAGGTGACGCTCATCTTGAGGTTTGTGTGATTCGGTGAAAGAAATAACTGCCAATCTTACTGACTTGTGTCGTTGAGAACGAAAACCCGGAACTGTACTCCCAATGAAAGCCATGAGACGCTACTACGCTCTGTTGACTTCGTCAGTCTTTTTCGTGGCAATTGTGTCTATGTACCTTTTACTGGACCAGGCGACGAATAGCGGGATACAAGATCAATTACAAGAGGTGAGACATCTTTATTGTGAAAATTAATCACACCTATTTAGTTTAATTGCCCCGTCATAACGGATGTTGTTGGCTTGGCAACTTGTAAGTTATACCCCATTTCGTGACGTACTACAAGTCGCGAAACAAAAACACTTAAGTTTTGTAATGGAAAGTTTAAACAAAACATCATCTTTACCGCACCCCGAACGCCTTGTAATATAAAAATAAACTATAAAATTAAAACCATGAATTGATTATACAGTCTATGAGGTAGAGGGACACGTCTGTAAAAGACATTTAATATTATACACGTGTTACGCCGTTTTTTTTTTTACTTATTCTTTTTTTTAATTAATATTCATTTTGCATACTTTGTATTGTTTAAATATTCATCATGTATTTGTATTTTGAGGGGAAGACCACATAAATGAATTATTGAAAAATGTGTTTTTTGTTTGTTTTTGCAATTTATGCAATATCACAAACACAACTGACATATTACTAATATCACATATGTTGCATGGCTATGTGATCTATTCAATATGATGTACATATTAGGTAACACAAACATAAATAATCCATTACAAACCATTTTAGAAATTTATTTGGCTTAAGCTGCTTAAGATAGAAGCATGCTTAAAAATGCAAATACCCAGCATTTATTCATTTTGCAATGAATTCAAAAGTAGAGGGTTCACCATCATGATATTTGAGAAAACGATTATTGTATGTATGTTAGTGGATAGTGGCTATTTTGTCTGTATTGTAACACTTTTACTATATGTTCTTATAGCAAATAATTGAAAAACTTGGGTGTTGACATACTTACAAAACCAACGTCACAACTGTAAACATTGTACTATATAGTTGACATACTTTCATTTTAAGTGATTAATAATTTATTATTCAATTTGGCTGTCATGTCAATGTCTTTCATCAATAATAGAAATATATGTATTGTCACAAATAGTTTCACCAATTGCTTTGTTATATATAATACATTTTTCAATAAATCTTTCACTATTGATATACATATAGTACTAAAATTAAAATAAGACAAATTCTATTAAGTACTTGTGCGTGTGGTATTTTTGGTATCCTTGCTTCAATATACCGTAGGCAGCCTGTTGTGTTACAAATAAATTGAAGAAAATTGGAACAAAAATAGCCAAATTTGTTTGAGTGAAAATTTACTCAAATTTTGTCTGTTGGCTCCAAAATTAGGGTGAGAAAGCCTGGTGGTAAAAAAGTTAATATACATACATGTATGACATGTTGCTTCAGCTACATCTGCACAAGCATTAAATAAGGGAATTGTAATGTCCTATATCATTATTGATGCATGACCTTTGACATCACACGATATGTTACTATAGTGATGACTCTGTAGCATTATGGGATACCTGAACGGCATGGCCGCC